TGGAAAGAGGGGGACAGTAGGAAACAGAGTTTACCAGGGTGTAGGTGGGGAAAGTGGGAGTGTTCGGCAGGGAGGGGAGGAGGGGAGAGCATGCAGGGGACCACAGTTGTGGGGAAGAGCTTAGGGGAGGGGTGATGATGGGAGGCTTGTGCTTTTGTGGGAGGGTGGAGATAATGCAGTACTGGAACTGGGGAGGGAGAAGGGAGGTCAGATGGGAGGAAGAAAGACTAGAGATGGATGGATATTGAGGCGGGGTTAGGGAAGCAAGAGGGAAATGTGTTGCCCCTGAATCCCCCTTAGAAATGCACAGTGTCTGAACATTAGTGCATATGTATACCTGGGGGCTATATGGCAAAGAACATAATACATGGTCCAAGAGACTCCCAAAATAACACAGGCTATTGCTGGATCTCTTGGTTATCTCCCATAACTGGAAGATAAGACACTACTGCTGAAAACAGGATTTACTTCAGATATAGGACTTGGAGTAATGGAGCAGGAACTGACCTGGAAGCCCTCTACCTGAAGTTTGGCTCTCATAGTGCTGGATGATAATATGCAAGTTGCTAATGGAGAAAATCAATCAACGGTCTAACCTAGTCCTAAAGCCTAATAGCCATAATGACAGGCACAGCAAACTACCTCTGTTGGTGCAGTAACGGCACTGTTATCTAGGGGGTAATCAACACCTATCTAATTGGACTTAAAGCCCCCTTAATGAATGTGAACTATGGATTGTACTGTAAACATAGCCAAATACACATGACTGGAGAGGTCACAGATCCTATAGAAAACCTTATCTCTGTCATATCTCTAGACAAATAAAATTTCTTACCATATGCTAAATATGGATCCTTATATTTACAGACAAGTATATCGTACACCACTCATCAAAGAAGCTTCTTTTTGCAACAGATGGAGACTACTGCAGAACCCCACAACTGGTCAGATACAAGGAATATGCTTCTGAGAGATGCCCAGTAGGTGACATATCTACAGTAGAACCTCTACCACCTAAGACTCATGGACTCATGGAACATAGTGAACTGAAAAATAGAGAGAAAACTAATTCTTCCCTCAACTCTCACCAGTGAAGCTCCCTTATACAACAGTGTGTGATGCACATAGAAGATCACAACTGGCCAAGTTTTAAAGAATAAGAGGATAGGACTCCTATATTAAACCTCAACCACCCATGGCTAAGGCACCAGGCAGAAAGACTGTAAGATGGCTGGTTCATGAACATAGGGAAGCAAAGGCTCACAGGCCATTGCAACTTTGCATGTGTGAACTGGTGGCAGTGGTGGCACTGAGCACAGGACCCATGCCAACTCAGTCAGACAGGGGCCCTGAGTGGAGTGAGAGAAATGCATGGAGGGCTGGCCCTAGTCTGGGAACTATTGGAGACTGATTGCTACTGGGTGAGGGAGACTATGCCTTACTTAGATTTCTAGGTAAGCTGACTAGACTTCAGGGAATGAATTTTCACCAAAGGACATTTGGGTACAAATGCTTGACTGGATAGGGCTTACTGTGTATGGCAGAATACATGAGATCTGGTGGGGGTTGGGGGGAGTGTGGATGTATGAGGATGTCTAAATTTGATTAAGAACTATTGTATGAAATGTATAAAAGCTCAATCAGTTTTTGAAAAAGTGAAATTTGGAGTTTTCTTTGTTGTGTTGGAGTTTCCCTTGTGCTGCTGGAGAGCAAATCCAATATCTTACACACACTAGCCAAAAGCTCTACCCTTGACCTGGATCTATAATTTCAACAAAAATATTTTAAGTTAAATTATTATACGTTAATTTTACAAAATATTTGCTTTCATTGTGATAATGTTTTTTTAACTTTTAAAAAATTTATTGAGAATTTCATACATGCATATAAAGGTGTTTTGATTAAATTCATTCCCATTCCCTCCCCTCCAACTTCCGTATCTCCCCACCATGTTTTCCTGACAACCTCATGTACTCTTTCTTTCTCTTTTTATGAGGCTTTTTGCTACTCTAACGTTTCCCCCTCTGAAGAGGGATTACACAAATCTTTTAGGGATTAGATAAGAACCCCCAAATACTTTCGATATTTTTGGTCTTTGGAACAGAGTATATTACTAAGAGGCCCAAGGACATTGTGACTTTTAGCCGAGAAACTGGCTACTTTTCTTTGGGGTCTTTTTACCCTAACTGCCTAGCCAATTCCTACCTCGTATTCTTACATCTTCTAGGCACCAGTCAAGTACTTTCTTTTCTCCCTACAATTAACAGTTACACAATTTGGGAGTCTTTTCGATAGACTCATTGTGACAATTTCGTCCATGCATTATAATGGACTTTGATCTTTCCCCTTCTTTAATATCCCCCTTCCTCTACAGTGTACTTTCTTCCTACATTCTCCCTTTATATTAAAGATGATAAATAAACAAGGCTTATCTGAGTCTGGCTTATTTAGCTTAACCATAAGGCTAACAGTTCCATCCATTTTCCTACAACATGATTCATTCTTCTTTATGTCTGAATAATATTCCATGGGGTATACATACCACACTTCTTTCATCCACTCATTCACTGATGGGCTCCTAGTCTGACTTTGCAACTTGACTCTTGTGAATAGAATAATACTGACTTTGGCTTCGCTTTTTGATTAAAGATCACAGCTCTGCCATCCAACTTTCTCTACCTGGATCCCCCTGTCTTTTGGCCCCTCGAGCATGGTCCTTTAATCCTGTAGCACTAAAGGGTGCCAGGATTTATTGACTCATTGCATCACACAGTCTCTTCTGGTATTTGTACACTGCTCACTTCACATCTTTCTCAACTCACTCAGTTTGAATGTGCCTTTTCTTAATTTCCAGAATCCTGACTGATAGAAGTAGCAATATCCAATCTGTGGTCCCATTACTTGCAAGCCTTGAGGACTCGGGCTACTCTTTTAATCGATTTGAGCATTTGTTTTTGCATCTTTACATATCAATAATACTTCCTTGGCTAAGGTGTTCTGAGAAATACGTAATGATCTGCTGAATGGAAAGCTTCTGTTAATGCTTTCTTTCTCATCTTAGTATCTCCCCATCTACCCCCGTGTCTATTTTCCACATCTTTGTATATCATTGCATGCTCCCCTTTCCCCTCTTTTTTGCAATATAATGTATGAATGTGTGAGTCATTCATAAGTGTAAAATGTAGAGAAGACCTATAAAACTTAAATGTGCCATGGCTGTGCTCCTGGAATAAACTGTTACTATTTCTTCTGCTGCAGAACAGTTAAGTCAAACTTTCAAATTGGGTCAACAAAATCCACAAATAGGGTGGAATCTTTGGACTGTATAAGCAGGGACAGATCTGGAGTAAATCAGAGACAGATATCACTTGTCAGCATGCTAAGGGGGAGAGACATCACAGATCCCGGCTGTGGCAGCATCATGATGCACCCGTTAAAGCTATATTGAGAGTTTTCCATCATGTGGATTCAAGTGACATAATTGTTTTGTGGTAGTAATATCTAAACAAGGGTCCACAATTAGGCTGTATTTTTATCTTGACTTGTGAACCGCTGCTGCCAACTGCTCAAATTTCAGGCTTGTTGAGACTTAAGTTATCCCTGGAAACCTTTCATAAAAGTTAAGCATTACTGTCCCACCAATGCAGTGTGCTCTGCTCAGTTCTCCTGTCTAATTCCAAATTAACCATGTAATCGTTCCTATACTAGTGACTAGTATTTTAAATAGCTTTTAAACAAAACCAAAAGAATAAATTTATTTCTATTTGTGTGAAAGCATAATCTGGTTTAGAGTCTCTTTGCAAGCTTTTAAAATAGAATACAGCCAAAGAACTAGATGTGGAATGAAGATCTGTATTTGAAATTCAGTTTAGCAAGTACCACTAGCAGTGTGTTCTATGTCAGTGAACTTTGCTGTGCCTTGACTTCCATATCTGCTAAATGGAACCCAAGTTGAAACAATTGATCTAATAACAAATCAGGTATTTATAAACTAGATAATTTATTTTTAATTTTAACTATGTGCATGAATGTTATGCATACATGTGTGTAAGTGCGGCTGTGTCATTCATCAGATCTGCTGGAACTAGAGTGATGGACAGTTGTTAAGCGGTCATGTGAGTCCTGGAATTTGAACCCAGGTCTTCTCCAAGAACATCCAGAGCTCTTAACCACTGAGCCACCTCTCCAGCCCCTAGATGATTTATTTTTATGATGTACATGCAATGGAGCAAATGTGATTGCCAGGAGCACTTCATACAGAGCAGGAATGTTTGGGCTGTAAAGAAATTAAAATATGAGAGAACAAGTGCAAGATAGGAATGTCTGCAGTGCCTGCATTTATAACCACACATCACGGTTCAGTATTTTCGATCTGTTAGTGACAGGCTTCCTAGTACAGCCGTGTTAATCACAACATAGCCAAGCGTTTACTGATGCAGCTCAGTGCACCTGACTCAAGCTACTTAGCATTTACATTGATGATCATGTAATTTAAGGATCCCAAAACTGTATCAATAAATCAGTTTGCATCTGACTACAATCTCATTGAATCTTACGGTGAAATGTCCGGTGACTTGCACACTTTCCCAGGTCTTTGTGCTTCATTTTCCCAAATACAATGTATAAATTGAGAGCTAGACCAAAAGAAGCGAGGGGTCTGAAGCTGAGCACAGTGTTAAGAGAATATTTATATCTTCCAGAGTTAAGCCACATTAGTTCTTAAATGCCATAATCAAAGCAATAGAGAGGTATGGAAAGGAGAAGCAAGAAATGAGGGAGGGAAGAAGAGAGGGAGGCTAAAGAGAGAGGAGGGACAGAAGGGGGCAAGGAGGGAAGAAAGGGAGGGACAGGAGAGAGACAGAGAGAGGGGGGAGGGGGGAGGAGAGGCTTGGGAAAATGTTCAGTGGAAAATCTGTAGAAATGATGTAAGAGAAAGCAAAGACAGGGATTGGAGTAAGGGGAGTATAACAGACTACAAAAACTCTGAGAGAAACTCTGAGCTGAGTTTGAAATAAACTTCAGACAGGACTCCACAGTTAGGATTTTCTGATTTCTCACAAGGTAAGTTAAATGATAAAGATCTAGGGTTTTTTCCTTAACTGTAGCATTTACTTTTCACATTCTTTTTTAACCATTTATGTTTATGCTGATTTTTCTAAAACTAGAAATGGTTTTTGACAAATGTTCTATTCAAACATGTGGAAAATTCAACATGTAATACAAACTTAAGGTAGAGCAGTTGTTAGACACTTGATATTCATTATATTGCTTTGTGCTTTTTAATTGCAAGACAAAGAGGAGACTCAAGAGAAGTAGTCACTATTATGTTAATAGTTTTATTTCACTTTCGTTGCAGATGTTCTTTATTGGGAAATATTTTAATGTGTAAATGGTCAGGTTTAAATAATCTGAATAGATGAGAAAATTTTCTAACCTTTATTTTAAGCAAAATTATATCTTAAGAATGCCCCTAAAGCAATCAAAGTTAATAATGTATATTTGTAAATCCTAGAAGCATCCTGATTTTCTTATTATGGAAAATTAAATATGACAAGCATTAGATACTTACAATAGACTTAGATCATATGTATTCAACATTTGAAGTGTTCTTGCTACTTAGAGATTACATTAATGGTTTATGATTTAAAGATACATTTAAGCTTTATGAGGAAATTTAAAATTTTGTTTCAGATTTTGTTCAACAGAAATAAATTATCAGCATCCATTCAATAAATTTAGCTCTATCGGTATAAAATATTTTTCATTTGAATTATATGAGTAGAGTGTGCAGGTATACATATACATTATTATTTCTTTAGAAATGTGGTCATTATTACTGGTGTTTCTGATTTGTCCTTCTACAAATGAACTGTGGTGATTTTAATGCCTGTGTAGTTACAGAATTGATAGTGATCTATATAATGTTCTACCCAGGATCTGCAGGCACACGTATCTTCTCAGTTTATTTTGGTGCTATTCTGTGTACACTGACTGAACTTCCCTAAGGAGAAAGAGGAGAGTTCAAGTCTTCCCTGTGATGTGGTTGCACCGTAGTTTCAAGCAGCTGAAGTACTTCTGGGTGACATTTGCTTTCCTTTTTTTATTTCCTCTCCCTGTGATGTGGTTGCACCGTAGTTTCAGGCAAGCAGCTGAAGTACTTCTGGGTGACATTTGCTTTCCTTTTTTTATTTCCTAAGGTTTTGAAGAATTCTTATAAAATGAGCCATGGGCAGTAGAGCTTCATTTACTCCTCTATTGATTTTAATTCATGGATGTCTAATACTGCCCTCTCCCTATTGAAAATTCTGTATTCCATATTTTATAAAACATAAGGTTCAAAACATATGAAAACCGAACTTGAAAAATCCTGTAGCATTAAAAGTTTGCATTAGTTACTGTGATTAGAGCTAGAAGGGTAATTATGCTTTGTGCATACATGAGGTCTCTACCTTTGTTTTGTACCCAGGAGGATATTGTGTAGAACTGTACGCTAACTTTTTCATAAAATATTAGAATTGAAAGTAGTAATAATGCATCAGGTGTTACAGTGACTGCTACTTGGAAAAAGTGATAATACGCTCATGTTTCAAATATTCTTTTCACTAACATATTTTCTTTTGTAACACTATGCCATAATTTTAGAGTCTAAGGACTAATTTTTGTTCCTTAAATTTACAGATTAAAGTTATGTTTTTCATGAATATAAAAATAGTAACAAGTATTTTGAAAATTTGTCACATTTAAAAGGATAATAAGGTACTATTTATTGAGTAATTAACATTGCTGGCCAGTATACCTGCAGTATTTCTAATGTCTCTGTCTCCTTTCCCAGAACAAAGGCTAAGCAGCATGCCCTGCTAATACTCAGATCCCAGGCTGCCCAGTGAGAGGGCTAGCATCCTTCACTCTAATCTGTTGCAAAGTGCACAGTACCAGGGGTTAGATACTTAACAATTTCCGACAAAAGAATTAGAGTATTTTCCCAATTGACCAAACTTGATTGTTTTAAGTTGAAGCGACGGAAGTTAATTTTAAGATTAGTAATATTTTATTACACTATGCAAAAGTTCTTTAAAGACTATGCCTGATAACAACAGCTACCATTCAAGGAAATGCAAATATTCCAGAAAGAATCTGCTTTTGCAGGAGGAAATCTGGGAACACAGTAAACAAGTAATAAGAGGGCCAGAGAGAGTTTCATCTTTTAGGTCCCTGGTTCCTGACATACAAAGTACACCTAATAAACACATCTTGCCATTAAGTATTATAAACTCCCTGCTTCTCCTAATTTATTTACATTTCAGAAGAGTATTTTTATTGATTATGGTTGCTGATTTGATTTAATTTATATTACAATCAACATCAAACATTACACAAGTACAGAGGTGGATGAAGAGTGAAGCAACAAATATTCTACATTATCCTCAGGCTTACATGTCTGGTATTTAACTTCACTTACCTAGCATTACCCTCTGAATGCCTTTTTATGCTACATAAAAGTTGACCCTGCATGACCATATGGAAACAGAGTCTTCCAAGCTCCTGGGACACTGCTCCTATGAACACACAGCAATGGTGTCAGCATGCACAGGACCTATGTAAACTCAAGTAGACAAAAACTGGGACATGGGAGCTGACCCCAATCAGGTGAAGAAATATTGCCAACTGATTACTGCTGGGTGAGGACAAGCTGATCTTCCTAAAGCAAAAGACTCTAAATAGGCTGACTAGACCCCAGCAGTTGAACTTGCACTGAGGGATGTCTGGGGACACTAACTAGACCTTAAGGCAAATGACAGAATATATGAATTCTGGGGCAGGGGTCTAAGGAGGGTGCCAGTGGGGAAAGGGGTATAAAGATGATTAAGATTAACTGGGATGAAATACACAAAAATTCAATTAAAAAAAGAAAGTTGACTATGCATCAAATGTGTGACTTGCTTGTTTATGTGAAACTTGGTCAGCTTTTCCATATCCATGGGACCAAAAGTTCTATTTTGTCCTATTAGTAAGCATCATAATTAAACATGTAATTTCCTTAAAGGATTTGACTACAGTCACAGGATAAAGTTTATTTCTGTTGTAGGTGGCATTGTTTGACATCGAGAAATGTTTAGTTCTTCAGAGGTCTACCTGCCAAGTAACATTTAATAAGATGCCATAAGCTAGAAGAATGGTCATTGGTCATTGGGGTTACCTGTGCCACTTTTGTTAGAATAAGAATGTGGAACAGTAATGGACATGACAGGACTCCAGCATGAATTCCATCATTTTACTGTTGGTATAATACCTTGACTTAGTCCTTTCCCCTAACCTAGCTTAACTGTCGATGGTACTTAGTTTCCATATCAGTTACACTGGATTATTAATATCTGCTCTGCATTCACACTTAGGCTTTATTAAACATACACTGAGTGTGCTAGGCATTCCGCCAGGTGCAAAGATGGACTGGTGACCACAAGACAGCCCCTTCTCTTGAGCTTGTAGTCACAACTAAACTTCCATATATAGTCACAACTAAATTCCACATATTAAACAACAGACCTGAGGATTTTTAATGACATCTTTCTTTAAAGTGGCACTGTTAACTTCTGCCTTTTGATTTTTTTTTTAAAGACTAGCAGTGTGAATGAGATTTTAAATGCTAGAGGTACTCAACACGGTATTTTTTGCAATGTTGGAAAGGAACAGTATCTTTAAAAAATGAAAACAGGGCCAAATATAAGAAAATCAATCAATAAATGTACAGTAGTAAAGTGTCCTTCAGGAAAAGTCATTTTAAAATGCTTCTCATCCATAAAGACTTTCCTTTATTTGAAATTAGTTTTGGAGATGGAAAATGCTTTTTATTACACAAATAGTTTGTGCTTTAAAAAGCATGAATCTGTTTGTCTGAATATGTACATTGCTGCTCTGGTTCTTCTTCTGCCTGCCTTCTTGACTCTGGAAAAGTTCTTTCTGCCAAGTGAAGAGCTGTGGGGAAGAAGGGCAAACATATCCCCGATATTTTGATTAAAAAATAATCAGGAGGGGATGGAGAGATGGCTCAGGGGTCAAGAGCACCGGCTGCTCTTGCAGAAGAACTGGGTTCAAATCCCAGCACCCACATGGTGACTAACAACCATCTGTAACTCCAGTTCCAGGGGATCCAACGCCCTCTTCTGTTCTCAGTGGACACTGCAAGACACAAGTGTACTTGTATACATGCAGGCAGTACATTCACACACATAAAATAAAAGTAAATCAAAAAATTTAATTGACCAGGAAGTGATTCATTCTTAGTCTGAATTTGAACTTTTTCAGAATCATATCCACAACGAAACGTAAAATATGCACAATTTATTAAGAATTAAATTTGATAAGGAGGATTTTAAACACATTGTTAAGTATCAAGATCATGCCTCAGATGTTTTGTGTGCAAAGCACACAGTGGACAACAGTTGAAGCTGCAGTGCAGCTGGGCTGGATTCAGCTGGTTCCCAGTGACCCTGAACTTCAAGAGGGCCTTGATTTATTCCTCATTTCTAAAATGTTAAGTGCACAGTTACATTCAACTGTCATATGTGTGGAGAGTGTGGGGTCACAACCCAGATAAGAGGAGACTCCAACAGCAAGAGGCTCAGTCAGCTGGTCTCCTTATCACACCCAGAGAGAGAAGCAACTATCTTTAAAGCCACATCCAGATACTGCTCCTCATGTCAAGATTCCGCATATAATGACAAAATGTGCAGCAGCATCACAATTTTACTGCAGGTTTCACAGACTGTCTCTATGAGTGACTGCAAATTCCAATGACTGTAAATTTCTAGAAAAACTTGGCTTCAAAAATCTGCTTTCAGCTCAGTAATATCAAATTTTGTAATATGTAATCAATCTTTTCACATTGTCTTACACTTTTAAAAACATTTCCATGAACCATTTTGGAGTTTATACTGAAAACATTTTACCCATGATAAAACAAGACAAAATGGCATGAGTTTTTAAGAATAAGTTATTAACTTAATAGTTTTAATAAATAGCATTAAATATACAAATATATTTATTACTCGTATTTCACAACC